CTCGTGTTCTTCGTTGATGATGATGAGAGACTATTTCAGCATTGTCAATTACGAACTATTGGTGTGTTCTGATTTGGTGAATCTCGTGATGCATGACTGCTGTTGGTTCGAGGTCAAGACTATCTGGACACATACGTATGATGCTGTTTGATTGCTGGAGTTCGCTAATGCTCATCTTTCTTTCATATATATATATATATACCCTGATGAGTCGGTGAAACTCCGACGAAACAGTTTGCCACAGCCCCTCGTTTGTTGTCCTCTTCTCTCTCTCTGCTTACGGTTTACCGGGCAGTTCTGTTTGTGACGATATATATATATATATATATAGTCGGTGAAACTCCGACGAAACAGTTTGTCACAGCCACTCGTTTGTTGTCCTCTTCTCCCTCTCTGCCTATGGTTTACCGGGCAGTTCTATTTGACGAGATATATATATACAGGGTTGCCGGCGTTCGGGACGGGCCGAACGCCCGAACCCGAACGCCCGAACGTATGGGACCCCTTCGGCAGGCGTTCGGCCGTTCGGGCCGAACGCGGACCCAAAAAAAAAAAAAAAACAAACCGTTTTCAACAAATTCCGAAAAAAACATATATTATGGACGAAAATAAACGAAACAACATTTGCCTGGGCTTTACATCCAAATTCTTTACCAAATTTGAATTAAAAATCGAATACAGAAAATAAACACTATGATAAAAATAAGAAAAAATAAAAAGAGAATTAAAATTAGTGAGTGTGCCAGCACCTCTTTGCGGATTGTTAATTATTTTTTGGCATTGACAAATGCCCTGAAAATTTTCAGATATGTAGCGTACATAATAAACAACTCAGTAAAATTTTTTCAAAACATAATAAAGTTTTTTAGGCCCCGAAATAAAGTGAAAACAAAAAGTTAAAAGTGAAAAAAAACAAAATAGTGAGTGGGCGAGCACTTTTTGACACCCCCATCTTTGACGATTTTTAATGTTTTTTTGGCTTAGCAGAATGGCTTCAAAATTTGTAGGCGTGCAGGTTACATCATAGAGAACTCACAAAAAACGATTCAGAAAAAAAAACTTATGTTTAGGCCCCGAAACGTTTTTTTGCGGGGGCCGAACCTGGAGGTGTTCGGCCCCCTAATGGGACCCCGAACGCCCGAAAGTTCGGGGGCCAGCCCGGGGGCCCCCGAACGTTCGGTCAGAGAGTTCCAGAGAGCCTCGGAGGGGCGAGTTCCAGCCGAAGCTCCTCCTGCAGGCAGGCAGCTGGCACTCTCTCGGCTTGCAACATGATGAAGGCAATCAGCCGACCTGAGTCAGGACTGCGCTATGCTTCTCCTGGAGCACCTCTATTTCTCGAACTGCTGTACATTTATAGGGCTTCGATGATGGGTGTGATGCATGACCGAGCGGTTGGTTTTCTCTCCTTGTATTCATCGGTAGGTTTGTCTCTTTCATTCATGTCTGTATGCGTTCTAAAAGGTGGCGTGGAAGACGGGTCCCACTGAAAATGGCCACGATGCATGTCTCAAGGACGGAAGTTCGCATATTGGTCATCTAGAAAGGAAGAGATGAGAGGCGGAGGGAGAGGAGAGTGTAAAGACGCCCGGCTGGAATAGTAAAGACGCCTGGCTGGAATCTGTCGTCTTTCTTAGGAATATGGTCTCGTATATGTGTGTTTTACGCACAGCTTACTGCGAATTTTTTTTTCCTTCTTTTTTTTTTTTTTTTTTTTTTTTAGGGAATGCGCAGGGATCATGCTAATATTGTCTGTATCGTGCCAGTGTTAACGGATGTCCTGAAGGACAGTTTTGGTTCAAACTTGGCTCAGTGTGTACGTGCATACGTACTCTGGATTTGCTTGCTAAATTGGCCATGCACACGTGCACTTACGTGGGGATTACTCCTGTTCTTTTGAGTTATTTTTTTATTTCAAGTTATGTAAATCTGGTTTACTCTTATGAGCGCATTGCTTACCTGCATGCGTGCGCATTCTTACCTGCTTGCGACATGTCCGTTTTTTTTTTTTTTTTTTGTTTGTTTATGAAACATCTGCGAGGGATGACTAGTGGGGTGATGCGAGCAGCGTTCACTAGAGGGCACCTCTTATCGATGCCTTCGATGCCTTGATGAGGAGCACGACCTGCTGGCAAGCGGCCCAAGCGTCCCTGTGACATGTCGTATATCCATGTGCACTAAGTGTTTTCTGGTGGATGCAGAGATGCTACACCATTACAGGTTCAGGTGCTATCGAAATAGAAAATAGATATGTACTCGAGAGGGAACATGCACATGTTGGTGCAGAGTATAATCGGACCGGCAATGCAACAGAGACTGGTACGGTCGGGTAATGGAATAGAATCGAACAGACTGGTTGATTCATTTGGTCGCACGTTCCGTCTTTGGGTTAAGCATGCATAGTCTTTTCTTTTCCAGGATATTTTGAGGTTGCTGTCATCGATATCGGCAGAGAGGGACGATGAGGACACCAAACAAAAGGCTTTGACGATGCTGTTTCGTCGGAGTTTCACCGACTCATAAGGAGGCTGAACCTCTTTCTCTCTCTATGTAAATGTTTAGTCGTCTTGGCTTGACTAGTGGTTCCCATTATATACACATATATGTATTATATTATATATTATTATATATATCGTCAAACAGAGCTGCCCTGTAAACCGTGGTCGCAGAGGGAGAAGAGTAGAACAAACGAGGGGCTGTGACAAACTGTTTCGTCAATATTATATTATATATTACATTATATATCTAAACATCCACGTGGGCGGCCTTGTACGCAAGAGGTTCTGAACAGGGGGAGTTGTAGGAAAGAAGATAAAAAAAAAGAATTATGTTTTTCTTGTTCGCTTTTGTTTTTTTCGCCTTTGCGCTCTGATATTCATGTGACGATATATATTATATTGCGCTCTTATTCACAGTGTGACAATATATATACCGTCTTAATA